TTGTTAATTCCCTACCACTTTGTTTGTAACTCTGTATTGTCTGTATTGTGCTTGTGATATGTTGTAAAATGTTGTATGTCTGTTGTTTCCCTCCTTTTATCTTTAAAATTAAAAAAAAATAAAATAAAATAAAAGTTAAGGGTTTCTTGCCTCTTTTTGGAGGATACCTTATGAAGTATTTACTAGCACATCTTTAGTGTGTGTGTGTGTGTGTGTGTGTGTCCGTATACACACGGGCCAAGACCTCTTCCATACAAATCCCCATGAGAAACAGCTGGGAAGCCACATGTACTCTGGCTGCTCTGGGATAGACCTGATGGGTAAGAGAATATTTAGTATGTATGACAAGATGATAGTAGAATATGAACATTCAGATAACAGGAAATGCATGTATTATTTTGGTGTTTTTGCAAATTGTAAGTCATGCATTAGAGGCTCCTTGTGTGTGCGCTGGTCATTCTGAGCCATCACATTGCTCGTAACTAGATTAGTTTATTCCTTAAGCCCAAGAAGCTTCATAAATACTGGTTTCTGGCTCCTCCTTGGGCATATAAATTGAGTGTTGTGTAGGCAGGTAGATATTTCTTTAGAATTTGCGTACTCCTAGCATATAGGCTGCTAGATGTATCTGACTGGTGGTGAGATAGCCATAAACAGCAGAACTTTCATAGGTAGTGTCTCGGCTATGAATAGCAGTCATATATCATGAGTTTTCTGGACAGGAGGTCTGATGGGCCAAAACCTCTTCCACACAAATCCACCTGAGAAACAGCTGGGAAGCCACATGTACTGCTGGCTGCTCTGGGATAGACCTGATGGGTAAGAGAATCCTCTTTTATGGGGTCCAGCCTTTGAAAACCTGCAGAACCTCTACCCTCTGCTACTGTTTTCCCCCTCGTTGTGTGTAATACTGGCTAACAGGCAGGGCAGCTGTGTCACTAATTTTAAACCCACTTACTCCGGCAGGGAAACCTGAGGCTTTGGTACTTGACAGGACTTCCCTGCATCCTCATTGCTGGTGGAATATTTTGGTTTCTAACTTGGGAGTGATGCTTTAGTAGTCATGTTTTAAGAAATATTCTCCTTTCTCTTCTGAAGGCTAAGGATACCACTATCTTTGAGAAGCCCATTTCAGATTTCTCTTTTTCTGATAAATGTCCCTGGCCTTTATTTATTCTGTTCTGATTAATTAATTCATGAGAGGGAGCTATGTGATCAGGGTGATCATCAGTGGACTCCACAAATCCTCATGTCTCCCTGGGATTCAGCTCAAGATTATTATCCTTGGTTCTGTATATCCTTCTGACTGAATTCCAGGGACAGAGACTGAAGATTGGCCTTTTCAGGAAGAGGTGAAGTGAGCAAATCAGGGGATATAAGTCCCATGTTGTCCTTTAGATTTTAAGTCTCCCTCAAAGACTCCTTTGATAAAGTCTTAGTCCTAAGTTATTGGTGCTATTATCAATTGGCAGAATGTTTGTGGAAATAGGGCCTAATGGAAGGAAATTAGGTAATCAGGAGCATTCCCTTGAAGTGGACTTTGGGACCTTACCCCCTTGATGTTTTCTCCTTGCTTCCAGGCTGCCATGAGTTTAGTAGCGTTCATCCCCCACAAGTCCTTCACCATCAACTCGAGCTCCGCCACACCCCCACAGGTATTCCTTTTTCTAATAATGTTACCTCTGTCATTGGAAGAACAACAACTTTTGTTGTGTACAAAAACTTTTGCCATGGTGAGCTGTAATCTTCCATCCTTTTAAATTGTTTCTGTCAGGTATTTTGTCATAGTGATAGATAGCTGAGTTACACAAGAAACTGGTACTAGATTTGGGGTCATTGCTGTGACTATGTAGCTCAGAAACCTTTGGAATGGATTTACAGGATGTGTTTGAAGATTTGGACTACAAGAAGCCTACAATTCAGGAAGAAAAGCTGAGTGGGTGTTTTGGTGGGAGCTCAGAAGACCAGAATGCTGATAGGAATGTGGACAGTAAACACGGTTCTCATTAGATTTCCAGTGTAAATAAGTAATCTACTGGGAATTGAAAGAGAGGCCATTCAGTCCCATTCCAGCAGAGATCTTTTTTTTTTTTTTTTTTTTTTAGAAATAAAAGGAGGAAAATACTAACAGATCGACAATGTTTTACAAAATAGCAAAGGATCAGTACAGACATTACAGAATTACAAACAGAGTGGTAGGGAATTAACAATGCTTATTGTATTACATATTGATATCTTCAATGTAGTTTCTCATGAAAACACATATAGACATACAAATCTAATCAACCAATGCCTCACTGACAGTTTCTTTCAGCAAGGAAATACAGGACAGTAGAACACCTGTGTTAACTATCCTGCATATACATATATACAAACTTTCTCCTTCTTTCCCTTCTCTTTTCCCATATTCCAGTTATCCTTTACCTATGAGTCCAGCAGAGATCTTGTCTACATTGTGTCCATGTCCTTGCATGGAAGACTTTGTGGGAGAGTGAGTTTCATGATGACAGTTTGATCTGTCAGAGAAAATTTCAAGGCGGCACAGCTTTCAATTTGTGAGATGAGAAATGTTAGCTGTTTTTAACTAGAATTACATTGAGAATTGGGAGTAAAACAGAATCTAAAGATTTGAAAAAATTGCACATTAGCCAGAAAATAAGCTTGTGTAGTATTGAGTTCAAGGAGGATGTGGCTACTGAAAAGACTAGTATTATTAGAAAGAAGCTAAGTGTGTTGCACTGGAATGATGAAAGAAAGAGTTTGAAAACATCTCAGGAATCAGCAAGACCTCACCCATTACAGGCTCAAAGAATTTTATTTGAAAACAGACTGGTAGTATGCCGTGCTTGCACAGGGTCACCTAAGGAACTGTTCTGGGATTTGTTTCCCATATTCAGTCATGTGGACACTCAGAGGCCACTGCAATTATGTTCCAACAGGGCCTGGATACCATTCATACTGTGGGCAGACATTAATATCCATTTTACCTTGTTTTGCAGACATGTAAAAATTGAGAGCTGTTGGGTTATGGAGGCTGCTAAGCAGATTTCAGAAGAAAGCCTGGGAACACCTACCAAAGAACAGCATATGCAGGTAGCCTCCTTTCACCTGCTGCCTTCCTCCACCACTCCCCTACCCTATCCTTCATCTCTCCTTCCTCAAGAGCAGCTGGATTAGAAGTCTGTGGGACCAACAGAGTGAAAAGACAACACACAAGGTGGGAAAAAAATGTTTCCTAGCTGTTCCTCAAAGTTTTACTATCAAGAAGGTATAAAGAACTCAAAAATTTAAAGACCGTCCAAATTTAAAGACCCAATTTTAAAATGGGCATCTGAGATAAAAATACACAATTCTCAGATGAAGAAATATATACCCAATATTACACAATATTACGCAAATAAACACATAAAAAAATATTCAACATCACTGGTCATTCGAGAGATGCAAATTAAAACAACACTGAGATGCCATTTCACCCCGGAAAGTATGGCTCTTATCAAGAAATCAACCAATAACAAATGCTGGAGGGGATGTGGGGAAAAAGGAACCCTTTTCCACTGTTGGTGGAAGTATAGACTGGTGCAACCACTGTGGAAATAAGTGTGGAGATTCTTAAAACAACTAGGATTGGAGTTTCTGTTTGACCCAACTATTCCCCTTGTGGGTCTTTCCAGAAGAATTAGAAACATCAGGGCCAGGGATATAGCTTAGCAGCACACCTGCCTGGGAAGTGCAAGGTCTTGAGTTCAATTCCTGGTACAAGAAAAAGAATGGAAAACGTCATACCACAATGATATATGTGCACCCACGTTTCTAGCAGGACAATTGGTAATAGCTAAATCTTGGAAACAACTCAAATGCCCACCAACCGAGCCATGGATAAAAAAGATGTGGTCTTTTCATACAATGGACTAGTGATCAGCCATAAAGAAGGATAAACTGGAGACTTTTATAGGTAAATGGATGCAACTCTGGACCATAATCATAACTGAAATAAACCAGACACACATGTATAAACATGCTTTTATCTCCCTAGTGTGAGAAGCTGAAAGAGTAAATAAGAACCAAAGTGTACAATATATATTGTAAAATGGGAAGAAATTTCAAAAAGAAAGAGAAACTTGGATGGGAGAATGAAGAGAAGAAGGAAGGGAAAAGCAAAAAGAAATATATATAAAAGTTAAAATAGTTATACTACTAATTTCTCTTAGTTCATTGAGAAGAAAGGTTTGTGCTAATACTGTTTAGACAATTAAATGCTAATATCTTGTACTCTGAGTAACTAATTTAAAGATAACAATATGTATTGTATTAACTGTTGTTACCCTCTATTATCTTGTTCTGATATTTTCTTTTTTTTCTCTCTCTTCAAAATAAAGACAAGAACTGAGTAAGGATGACCCTGTGGCTCTTAGGGTGCAGGATGCAGCAAAGTGAAATCGCACCACAGCACACATAAGCTACAGGCATCCTGCCTACCACCCTGCTGTCTTCAGTGCCTCTTCTTTCTCTCATTGCCTAATTTCTCACACATCCTTTTCTGAGGCTGTGAGGATCCAGCCATTCATAGAGCCACATCTTGCCACCTTAAAACCTCAGAGGAAAGACATGGGAGGGACATCTTTTCTTCAGGAGCTGTGCCTCCAGTGAAAGCTCACTTCTTGGAGTGGGAAACGGGAGGGAGGCTGGAACTGAGGCCTCTTTTTTAGGGAGATAGGGAAGGTCCATGATGGCTGCAGAAGAGTGCAAGGTCATCAGATCTCTGCAACTTTTCTCTATGGCCCTGTGTCTCTTAAGGGTCTGGGAAGCCATCACTCACAGTTATGTTTCTATCCTTTGACCCTTTATTGGGGGATGTGATCATCTCTGTCTACACCTTATCAGTCAATAGATTTAGAAGCCCTTGCATCTGGTCAGGGCAACTTAGGCTGCAGCATGCACCTACACTTTCCTTCTCTTTCAAATCAAGGAGCTGCTGCTTCCCCACCCAAAGGAAGAAAAAGCTCTTGTTGCCTGTGCACCAGGCATGAGGAGAGCCACAAGGGGTAGGGACAAGGGCATTTGGATGAGAGGCAGGAAATTGATGTGTCATCTGTCTTGTTTTCAGAGATAGAAATTAAGGCTCTGTGGACCACTCTGCTCGATCTTCTTTCCAGCTGTGCACCTTCAGCCTCTCTTTGTTCCCTTTTAACCTTCCAGCTTGTCCACACATACATCCCCCACCCAGAAATAGCCCCTCTCTGGAAGTTAGTGATTGCTTGCAGGTTAGGACTAGACAAAGTCACCAGAGCCTAGTGCGCAAGGTTCCACCCTCATCCTGTTCTATCTGGAGTCCTTCTCTTCTCTGTCTACCTGGTGTCCTTCCTGCCTCTCATCTGTGTGTTACTGACCTCTTTCCTTGTACTTCTCTGTTTTACTTGATGCCCATCTACCTGTTGACCTCTCAACTTCATCCTGGTGTCACTGTCCTGATCTTCCTGCTGTCCCTTCATCTCTTGTCAACCTGATATCCCTCCTTCCCTGGCCTCCCTTCTCAGGAATAAGTCTTTTTGGGGTGTCTAGTGCCAGTGTTAGTTAGGGCCACGATAGCTTCTGTATATGTAGAATGTACTTCTGCCAGGAATTTAGGGGTTGAATGATGGCCTCCACCTGAAACTGAGGGAACGATTTGTGAGTGTCATGGGGAATGGGTTGTAAGTTTCCTTGGCCAGGAACAACTCTAAGCCCAGGAGAAGCCTGGGAGAAGCAGAAAGCAATGCCTAGTCCATGCTAGTCCTCACCATGTGGGTTGTTAAATCTTCATCACCACTGGCTACACACATACTTAGACACACTTACGATGAGACATGGGTATGCAAGCGTGCACACATGCACACATGCACACACGCACACATGCACACATGCACACATGCACACAGAAACTCCTTTGTAGGTTATTGGGTTAATAATATCCCTTAGTTGTTGTGGGCTGATCAGGTCCACAATCTCCCAAATGAGTATATAGTGAAGGCTAAATAAAAAGAGGTAAATGGAATTATTTCAGGGCTCCAGGAGGATCAAAACCCTCTCACAGAATTTAAGATTCTCTACGGTAAGACCAAGACCTTTTCTGGGTGGGCCTATTCATTTGGTTATCAGAAGAAGGGAGGGGAGTACTCAAGAAGGACAGAATCACTCAAGGACTTCAAGTAAGGTGTTAAAGTAATCCTTAATAAGGATTAAATTAATCCACTGAGTGGTGAGATGCCTGAGGCTATAGTCTTTGTCTAGTTGAGATCAGATCCCAGATCCAGGTGTCCTTGGTTGTGATCTTGTTTTGTCCTTTGAGGTTTTCCTGCTTCATCTGCCATTACAGGTTTTAGTAGGGATTAGTGACTCACAGCAGTTCACTTATTATGAGTCCATGATGCATTTCCAGACAAGGAGCCTAGGCCTTGGACAGATTCACAAGTGAACATGAAAAGCCAGTTGGTTAATTTAAGTCTTGCTCAGGTCTGCTTCATTGTGGTCTCCATCAGTAGGTAAGGAACTTGGCTCAATTTTAAAGTCTGGAGATGGTATTTCTGGAAATTTAAAGACAGCAGCGCTCTAGCCCCAGCACAACTTGGTGACAAAATCCTCTTGGAAGAAGCACAACTTGCCATAGTAGGTCAGGAGTTCTGAATATGTGTACATCCTGTCCTCTTCCTGCTGCTGCTGTAGTCTGTCCATTGCCAGGCTTTCATTGGGCTCTTCTGTGGCCAACATGTGATGCTCTTCCAGTCAGTCTGTTATCTCCAGGTACTCCCTCACAGGTTCAGGGATCTCACTGGACACCTTGGTCTCTGGTGGTTGCTGGCATTTGGGTGTTGATGAGGGTTGGCCTGGCCCTCAGGGTCTGTCTGCTGGGGATGCTTACTAGAAGGGGAATGGTGCATGGATGGGGGCTCCAGCTATACCCTAGCCACAGTGGGGGAAAGTAGGGCTCAGGATGTGAGGGCAGATCGCAAGAAACACTCATGGAGGCTAAGAACATATACAAGCAAGTTTTATTTGCCAGCAGATGACACCCAACTCCAGTCACTCCAGTCAAGAGTGCCAACCCCCAGAAAATTTTGTATTGAATTTTTATACAAGTAACCATGGTAACTACATTACTGTACTTTGGAACTTTACAAGAATGTCACATAGTTTACATTTCCCAATGGTTTGTCAGTGGCAGGATGCAGTTTATCTTACCCTACAGTTTGTCCTATTTGTTCCTTCAGTTAACGACTTGTCCTTCCTTTGTGGGATTTATGGTTAACTAAATGGGAGGGGTGAGGAGTGAGTTCATCTAGAGTTTAAGTGACTTGTAAAATGGAGTTCAGAATCAAAAATGAAATCACATTAGCCATGTCATTCTCCCCTCAAGAATGTAGTTACCTTACTTAGGACATATATAGTCCTTTACATGGTGTTAACTGTGCTTTGTACGGTCTCATATCTTGTAGTTAATGTCATTGCATGTACCTGATTTACAGTGGCTTGTAGTCTGTTCTTCACCCAGTAAATGAGGCATGGCACAAAAGTCAATATGACAGTTATTACCAGTATGGGAACAGCCTGCCCAGTAACTAGGGAAGTTAGCCAGGGGTTCCAATTAAACAGTTGTTCATACCAACCTTGGCTCTTATGTTGGTCTCTTGCTTGTTCATCCAACCTTTGTCTTAATTATAGTTCCTGATTTATTAGCATAGAAGCAACATTACTCCTCCAAGGCTGCACACAGTCTGCCTTGTTCCATGAAGAGGAGGTCTAATCCCCTTTGATTTTATAGGACTACCTCTATGAGAGAGTTAACTTGGCCATGTAGTTCTCGTACCATGTCTCAGAACCCAGACAAGTCCTCTTCTATGGCTTGAGTCAGGCTCATAATTCCCTACAGTCTTGTTTTGGTAAGAATCATGGCCCCCAGGTCCTATTGCTGTTGACCCTGCCAGGCTTGCCCCCAGCAGCAATGGAAGGACTACTGCAGCTCTTTAACCCGCAGGTGTCTGTTTAAGGGCAACAGTTTAAATCCTTCTTCTCCTGGTAGGGTCAATACTTGGGGAAATATTAATGCTAGGAGACAGGATCTGTGGTCTTTGTGTCTTATATCTAAGCACTAAAATAATCCTGTGGAACAAATAAACCGTGTCCCATTGGGGGCCCGATAAGTCTGGGTCAGGGGCAAAGTCTGATTGCATGGAAGTTGAT